GTTTGTCTTGTCTTTTTGTTTTTTGAATTCTGATAGATTATTTGTTTTTCTGACTTTGCGGACAGTTTGGTCTCAAACTTGTTCTGATGGGCTACATTGCTAGTCTCCTCCTCTAAGTTATATAATTTAGGTGTCTGTTAATACTGTATATGTTGTTCTGTTACTTATAACAAGCCCTTAAAACTTCTTCATGTGTGGCTTGGTGTTAATAAATTCTTTTAGTTCCTTACATGTCCTCCTGTCTTGAATGTTACTATTGCAAGGTAAAGGAGTCTAGTCTAGAGATTTTTTTTCTTTGAGGACTAATATCTCCTGCCATTCCTTTCTTGCTTGTGGTGTTTCTACTGAAAAATCTGCTGACAATAGATTCCCTTATAGATCACTTTTTTTGCTTATGATGTTTTTACTAGTCTGTCCTTTTCACTGGCTTTCAACAGTTTTATTATTAAAAGGCTTGGTGTGTGACTGTGTAGTATTATTTTATTTGGAACACTTTAGGACTCTTGGATCAGAACATCTGGTTCATTGCCCAGATCGAGATGGTTCTCAGCAATTATTTCTTCAAATAAATTTTCTATGACTTTCTCTTTTTTTCTTCCGGGACCCCAATGATACAGATGTTATTTCTTTTTAGTTTATTCCAAGGATTCTGACATATTTTCATTTTTTAAAATTCTTTTTTCTCTTTGTTGTCCTATTTGTGTTCTCCAATATTGTGCTTTCAAGTTCTCTAATTCTCTCCATTGCCTGTTTTTGCGTGTTGTGTTTCTTAATTCAGTAATAGTATTTTTTAGCTCCATTAGTTCCGATTATAACTGTCTTGTATTTTCTCCATCGTTAGTCTGCTCATGTTTTATACCATGCTTTGTTTTGTTCATTGTTTTTTTGGTTTTTGAGTCCCATGAGCATTATTATCACTGGTACCTTGAACAGGTATATTCTGCAGTTCGTTTGACTGAGACTTCTCTCATGGGTTTTTTTTTTTTTTTTTTTTTTTGCTCCTGTATTTGTGATATGTTTATGTGTTTCTTCGTTTTCTCTTAAGTTTTGATGGATTGTGTTAAGGATAGACTTTTAAAACTTCTGTCTTGGTACCTGTTGAAATGATTAGAGAACTGGTCCTGACAAGGGATAATAGGTAGAAGGAACGAGAACAGTAGAATATCGAAGAGTCACCTTCACTAAGCACCAGGGATTCAAGCTTCCTGCTGTGCTGTGGGGTCCAGGGTGTATATGGTGGGGGTCCACAGGGATCCTTCCTTTAGGCTAGCTCCTTGGTTTAAGTGTTTTCTCATAATCTCCTACCGGCTTCTGCCTCTAGGCTATGTTTGAGCACTGGAGAAGCACTGGGCATAGATGGTGGTTGAGACAGAGTCACAAGTCCTGAGTTGTTCTCTTCTCTAGGACAGAGTTTTATCCTGGGGTGTTTGTGACTGTTGTGAGCAAGTGCTTAAACTCTGTTTAGTGAAAGTGTTCATTTGTTCTCTTGTTTTCAGTCCAGTGTCAGACTATAAATAGTATCCTCTTCTATGCGAAGACACAGGTCATCCAACCTGGTTCTCCCCAAGGTTCAGGCTCCAACTGTCCTATATTGGGAACATCAGTCTCAAGCCAATATCATCACTATGCACCCCTGAGCCTATCATTTTTCAATAGTGCTAATTTTGTGCATGCCTTCTCCAGCACAGAGCTGGGCCCTCAAAATCCCTGCTGTGGATATGTGCCCCCTGAGTCAGCAACTATAAGGGTGTCCCATGCAGCAGATAGCCCCCCATTCTCAGGGGTTGTACTGCCCAGTATCACTGTAAACACAGTTCAGTCCCCTTCTGCTGGACTGTTGTTCCTGATATGTAGTAAGTACAGTATATACTTTTTTGTTTCAGGAGTTGTTGGTTTTGCTCTGCTGCAGTTTAGTTGAGTATATGGAGGAGGTGAGCCCAGAATCTTCACTCTTCCATTTTTATCACACTCCCCTGGTCACTAACATAAATGCAAACTAACACACCAAAACAATAGTTGTAAATATGATGTTGGTGGTGAGCAGCTTCTCAGATCTATTGAGGATTTCGTCTGAAGAAAACTACTTATATCAAAGGAGGATACTGTCTACAGAGCAGAACAATGTTTCTTAAGTGGTCCATGAGTCCCTCAAAGACTTTATTCCTACTTGTTTAGCCTTTGATTTTGGAGATAATCAATATGGTCACCATGTTGGATAGCACAGAGCTAAAGGAATTTCCTAACTATACTCTGCAATGGTTAATTTTATTGTGTCTTAACTGGGCCATCATGCACAGATATTTGTTCAAACATTATTCTGGATGTTTCTGTGAGGGTGTTGTCTGGATGAGAGTTACACTAAAATCAGTGGACTTTGAGTAAAACAGATTCCCTTCTATAATGTGGGTGGGTCTTATCATTCAGTTGAAGGCCTGAATGAAAAGGCAGCATCCAGGGGCCTCCCTGGTGGCACAAAGGTGTAAGTCTCAGCACTATGAAGCTATCCACAGCCTCTGCAGCACAAGTTCGATCCCCTGGCCAGCCAGGGAGCAATCCACATGGCGCAGCAGACCTTTCCTGTCTTGCCCACTGCTCCCCTCATCAGTGTATTTCAGTAGATCCACTTGTTCTGCTTCCTGCTCTGTCTCTGGTGAATCCTCTCTCACACACCCGCCCCCCGCACCTCTAGCCTACACCCCTGTTCCAGTATGCATAAATAAATACATATTTTAAAAAAAAAGAAAGAAAAAGCAGCATCCAGCCTTCATCTACAACATCCGCTCTTCCAGGTTCTACAGTAGTCTGCCTTTAAACTCCACCAAAACTCTTCCCTGCGTCTCCAGCATCCCAGCCTCAGCCATCAGGTTTTGGACTTGCTAAGATTCCACAATCATGGGAGTCAATTCCTTAATATAAATCTATATAATCTTTTTTTCCTATTGGTTCCATTTCAGTGGGGATTCCTAATAAAGTCTGTAAGTCAAACTGTGCTATCTTCTTTACTAAGGAATTCTTCCTAGCAGCACTCTACCCATTGGCGGTCACAAAGGTTGAATCAGGGAACTACAGATGCTAATATAGCTGGACATTTCCACTCTCCTAGGAACAGTGATTCTGAGCCCAAAGAAAGGGACCCAGTGCCAGGTGGCCCCCGGGAGAAGGTGACAGTGGTGACACACCCACAGGCGGAGTTTAACAACTGTCTTGAAGTTCTCTCCGTCTGCGGTGAGGATCGCTCCCCAGGGGGTGCTGGGCAGCTCCAGACAGGGTATCAGGCAGACTAATATGCGCAGACACCAAAGCGCTCTATGCCATGCGTTTTCTCTGTAATACCTGCTCCACCCTCTTCTGGCAAGGCTTGGGAGACCCCGGAGGTGACAGCTCACAGCCCACAACAGACGCACAGCGAATGTCCATCTTCCCTGAGTCCAGCACCGACCCTGTCCTTCGCAGCCAGCGCTCTCGTGCATCCCGGGAAGCGCCACCTCCATGCACATTTTTCTCAGTCCTGCAGCAAATATTGCTCCAGGTGACTTTCCTCCCCACGGCCAGCTAAATCAAGACTGGGGAACCGGGAAGAGAATTAGCAAACACATTTTTGAAAGAGAATAGCTGGACACCAGCACAACAACGCATCTGAAGACTTTTTACCTTCCTTTCACACAATATTATTTCGTTCATATTTGCGAATAGGAATTCACACCCTAACCTATGCAGATCCTGAAATGCTAAAGAGAACAAATAATCAAACATGCAAGTTACGTTCACATTCTGGATTTTTAGCTGTTTCCATAGTGTTGTAGGACTAATTGTGACCATAATTATTGTCTGTGAGATGCGAGGCATTTTTTATGAAAACTCCAGGAAAACACTCCCAACCACCCACCCCCATGCCCTTAAAATTTTGTTTTGTTTTAAAGATTTATTTATTTATACAAGAACCGGGGTACAGGCCAGACGCGCGGGAGGGTGAGAAGATTCACCAGAGACAGAGTGGGGAACAGAACAGGCAGACTGGCGAAATACACTGCTGAGGGGAGCAGCCGGCTAGACAGGTGAGGTCTGCCGCGCCATGTGGGACCCTTGCCGGCCGGGATTGAACCAGCACTGCAGAGGCTGCGGACAGCTTCACAGCGTGGCGCTCAAACGCCTGTGCCACCAGGGAGGCCCTGCCCTTAAAAATTAAAATAGGGGCCTTTCTGGTGGCGCAAGGGGTTAAGCACCACACTATGAAGCAATCCGCAGCCTCTGCAGCACGAGTTCGATCCCCGGCCTGCCAGGGAGCAACCCACATGGCGCAGCAGACTTCTCCTGACTCGCCCGCTGCTCCCCTCAGCAGTGTGTTTCGCCAGTCTGCCTGTTCTGCTCCCCACTCTGTCTCTGGTGAATCCTCTCATCCCCGCATCTCTAGCCTGTACCCCAGCTCTTGTATGCATAAATAAATAAATCTTAAAAAAAATAAAATAATGTTTTGAAAAACTTAAGAAACCAAATTCCCTACCCTGGTACCACTTGCAAATCCTGCCAATAGAAAGCGCGGCTTTCAGCATCCCCAAAGCACTTTGGCCCCGCGCCCCGCCCCGCTCCTGCCCCTCCCAACTGGCAGCGGAGGGCGCCCTCCTAGCCAATCAACGTACCACGGGGCCCTCCTCCCGCGCGTCTTTCAAAGGCTACCTGGGGACCAATGAGCGGTTAGAGGCCGAGCCGGGGCACAGTGGGGGACGGAGGAAGAAACAGAAGGAGGGTGTGATTGGTTCCTCGAGGACCCCGCGTCTCGCTTCACAGCGGGTGCACCAATCAGGGGCGGGCTTGGCGCAGGGCTGGTGCTGAGACGCAGGTGCTGCCCGGGGTAGGCGGCGGTGGGTCGCGAAGTGGGCGGCCAGCGATGAAGCCGGTGAGTCTGGCGGGGCTGGGGAGGGTCGGAGCCGCAGGGACGGGCGTGAACCTGCGGCCAGTTCTTGGGCCCGGAGACATCCGGAGCCTGATGGCCGCACGACTCGCGCAGTAACCGTCGGGGTCCGGGAGGTGGAGGTGGCGCTGCCCGGGATGCGCGAGAGCGCTGGCTGCGAAGGACAGGGTCGGTGCTGGACTCGGGGAAGATGGACATTCGCTGTGCGTCTGTTGTGGGCTGTGAGCTGTCACCTCCGGGGTCTCCCAAGCCTTGCCAGAAGAGGGTGGAGCAGGTATTACAGAGAAAACGCATGGCATAGAGCGCTTTGGTGTCTGCGCATATTAGTCTGCCTGATACCCTGTCTGGAGCTGCCCAGCACCCCCTGGGGAGCGATCCTCGCCGCAGACGGAGAGAACTTCAAGACAGTTGTTAAACTCCGCCTGTGGGTGTGTCGCCACTGTCACCTTCTCCTGGGGGCCACTTGGCACTGGGTCCCTTTCTTTGGGCTCAGAATCACTGTTCCTAGGAGAGTGGAAATGTCCAGCTATGTTAGCATCTGTAAACCTAGCTGGGAGAGCCTGATGAATGGTTCACACCAATTCAAAATCTTTACTCATCAACCGCTTTTTAAAAAAAAAAAAAAAAAAAAAAAGGAAAAACAGATGCAAGAAACGGAAGCCTTGCCTGGCTCAAGGTATCTACCTGTTGCAGGGACTTCATTTGTATTGAGCTGATAATATAACAGATAATTCCAAAGCAACTAAATCCATAGTCTAAATTCGCTCTGTCGCTCTGTAATGTGATCTTGTAGTAACAAGAGTGTTAGAGAATATAGCTTCAGAGCTGGAAAGGGCATGGGGTGGTTCCGCTTGCTAATCCCCATGCTTTCATGTGGAGGGAAGTCAGCTGTCCTTCACTCCTGGCAGTCTGTCTCTTTCTCCACTTGACTCCATAAGGGGAAGAGGGAGTGGTCTCATCCGGGTTTGGGAGGAATTGAACACAAGCGACTCAACCCTCTCTTCCCTTCTCTCTGCAGAAAATGCCATTTGGGGTGCTTTCTACCACAAGAGAGCCCTGGGTTGTCCATGACTGCCTGTGACTAGGTGGATGAGGCTAATTCTAGGGTGAAGAATTGACAAGCTCACTTGACCACAGCTTTAAAGCCACATCCTCCATTTGACACTCAGTAATAAAACTAACACACTGATCTCCATTTGCCTCTCCAGTGTCTCTTCTCTCAACTGGTTTCAGCTACAGAGTAAAAGAAACGAGTGTTTTTATGGGCCTATAAAATTCCAACAATCTCCATTGGCAATACTGCCTACTGGTTTGAGTTCCAACTCCTTAGATCAGCATACAAAGCTAATTTCAATCTCTCTAGTCTAATTATTCACAAATTGGGGGCAGTTTATTCCATCTGTACTACCCCACACCAAATTACTAGGCTGTCTGGGGGTTAATGTTTGAGAAAAAGATCAGGTAAAAACTACATGTCTAGCCTCAACTCCTCTACTTTTATATCACAATTCCTGAATCCACAAGCTCTTTCTCCGTTGACCTAATTGTCTTACCTTCTTTATCTGCCTAAATACATCTTGGTTAGTCTTCAAAACCCAACTAATACATCTCCTTTGTGAAGCTTTCTCCAGTTCCATAAGTAGCAGTTTGCTCCCTTTTCTGAAGTGCAGTTTTTGTGTCCACTGTAGTCCTTATAACTTTCTTCTATAATCTGTGTACACATCTGTCTCTCCATCTGTACTGAAAGCAAGCTATTTATCTTAAATGTTTGTGAACTAATGAACAAGTCCTCTCACGTTTATAGTTGCAGTAAACAAATTCAAAATAACTGAAGTGACTTGTCCAAGATTATAAAATGAGTGGCAGTGCCAAGACCAGAAGCCAGGTTCCTAGTTCCCAGTCCCAATTCTTCACTGCCTAGTGCCGTGAATATTAATATGGTGGTAAATAGCAATCATTTGTTATCAAGATGGCCAATCTCTCTGATATTCCAGATTGAATAAATTGCAAATTTGCATTCAGTGAGTGTTTATGAAAGGTTCAGCTAGCCTTTCATCTGTAAATATTCTTTACAGTTTTTTTTAACACAACTGATTTCTTTTGAAGCCTAGTTCATTGCAAACAAGTGAGTTTGACTCATCAGATGAAGATCCTATTGAAGATGAACAGACTCCAATTCAGATATCATGGTATGTTAATATTTCTGATCAATGATGGGCTACAATATTTAATATGTACATCCTAATCATTGTAGATTATAGGCCACATATTGAAAATATTTGATGATTCTCTTCTGCTGATTACATAATTCTAATCTTTAAGGGATCTTTTAACGCCATGATTCATTTACTATCTTAATATAAGGCTTTTCTTAATTTGGGGGGTGGGGTGGGAGGAGAAGGTGCTAAAATGGGGAAGTCCTTTATGCATGAGAAAAGCATAGTATAAACAAGCAAGGAGTTGAGATATGATTGGAGTGCGTTCCCATTTATTATCAAAATCTACTTATTCTTTTGCAACAAAAGAATAGTATACCAAACATAGCCGGAGACATAATTTATCATTAAGTGAAATCCTAGAACTATTTGCTACGGTAATGTACCTATTCCTATTTGAGATAAAAGCCACCTTATTAGAGATACAATAACAAAAACAGATTTTTCTAAATAAACTCAACTTTCACATCTTGGCAGTGAAGATGTGATTCTCTGCAACCAACAATCAAGTGCTTTCTCTTACCTCTGCAAATGTAAGAACTTCCCTCCTTAGGAAAGCACCATCCCTACTGGGAAGAGAAAAGAATCTAAGTGTTATTCCTAAAGTTCTTTTGTTGTGCTATCTAATAGGGTTACCTTTCAATCCTCATTCTAACCTCCATTTTAAACTCAAAAATGCATCTGTTTTTCAAAGTCAGGTGGTATTTATATGATGCCTCCTGTTTTTCTGTATCTTCATCTTTAGTTTTGCAGACAAGGTGAGTCTCTGCCCCCTTTGCTCCTCCTGAGTACTACAAAGTGGGACTAGGATATCATGAGATTATTTCATTTTAGCCAAATCCAGTAAAACAAAGAATGTGTGACCTGTGATTTTTAGCATATGAAATTATATGTTTAAAGAAACCCGACAAAGAAATCTTAAAATTGTAATGTAGAATGAATGCCGGGCATGAAATTATCAGAGGGTCTTTGCCGAGCTTGTTTACCTAAGATTACTAATTCAAAATATGTATCTCACAGGGTAACTTCAGTACACTTATTTCAGCTATAGACAATCCAGGCATTATTATCTTTAAGATAAGTTTTAATTCACTTGTCATTTTTCAGACTTAAATAGTAACAAGGCAAATAAGTTCCCGTTTTGATACTTCCAATCTTTCTAGGTCTTTTTGTGACCAACACATTACATTTAATTATGAATTTTTGTTTTGTGACTATTGTAAAACTTTAAAACACCCTTCTTCAGTAACAAGCACACATCTTGATTAAGTTGAATTTCCACTTAGAATGTTTTAAAAACTGAATTAAACTTGATAATTTCTTTTCAGGCTACCCCTGTCACGAGTGAATTGCTCTCAGTTTCTCGGTTTGTGTGCTCTTCCAGGTAGGAAACACTGTAATCAGCTTCCCATTAATATACTTTAAATTAATTTGTTTAGCTAACATCATTTTCTGTACTGAATAATACAAGAATTTCCAGGCCAACAGCACTAGAAAAGGAACATAGATCTACTTTAAAACCTTTCTGGACCCACATTTATAATTCTACATTTGATAATAATTTGATAGTAATTCTACATTTGACTTAAATTAATAAAGCTTCATCACTGAGGTACAATGTGAGGTGTAGGGCTTCAGCCAGGATCTTGTTACAGAAAGCACACAGAATGAAAAAATCCTTGAAAGTTCCTGCAACTGGTAGCTGTGAATCCCTGGAATTATATCCCTAGAGTTCATATTCAAAATGGCATTGAAACATATAAATGATCATGTGGAATGACTGTCTGAAGTAGCCATATATTTATTTCAGTATATTTGTTATATATTACCAGAACCTGGCTTTTTCACTTGCCTTATTACTACTTACAGGTTGTAAATTTAAAGATGTTAGAAGAAATATCCAAAAAGATACAGGTAGGTATAATTTGAGATAACCATATTAATAGGTTATTTTTAGATAACACTGAAAGTCTCTTTCTCAAAAGGAATAAACTGTAATCTCTTCTTAATATATTTAATAAATATTCAGTATTTCATAGTTTCAAACCACTGATTTATTCTAATATGTGAAGAAATGTGAAGGGCCTGGAGAACTCATCATTTACTGAACATGGCATTGCTTTTCACGGATTGTTGCTTTTCATGGATTGTTGTAGTTATATCACACATAGAAATTTTTGAGGTATGTCGATGTGAGAGAAGTGTATGTGTACGTTGATATGAGAGTGCAAATAGAAAACTGACATTGCATTGTCCACATCTTTGAACATAACTGCTCATGGACTTGACTGTGGTGATAGGAATTAAATCTGAATTGAGAACCCAGAGGTAGCAGTGAAATTGTCTGTCCTGGATAGAAAATTTAGAAAGCCAGCATCTAGACAGTCAAGCTCTAGAAAGACGGCATCTAGAAAAACAGCATCCAGAAAGGTAGAATAGGGGCTGATCATCACTTGCCCTCGGGTGTTCAGACCACTTATAGCCTCAAATCTCACAAATATACTGAATAGCCTTCCCAATATGGAGTTTACATATTTCAAGATACAAATTTGGACTTTCAAAATATTTTATTCTGGTTGACCTCGAATATCACAAACTTAATTGGTAAGTCAACCAATATACTTAAAATATACCAAAACAAAAATGTATATACCGTGCTTCATCTGATTTTTAAAATCTTAAAATTTTGGTCTGATTGTTCTGGAATTTCTATTTGCTAATATACTCTCTCTAATTTGTTCCTAGCCTATGAAAAAAGGCTTAAAGATGCTAGTAGATTACTTCACCCTTGCAGTATTTGTAAAGATTTTCTGCTTTAGAGACAGCCATCATGGTAGAAAATTTCCATTTGGAAAACATTTAAGTCATAAGCAAAATATTATTTAAATTATTGGCTCAAGAACCAATTATGCACATTTACAATGTGTGTTGGAGAGATCTCGAAATCTCCCTGCAGCAGTTCCTATGGTTCTGTCTCATTTTTTTCTAAGAAAGCTTGAAATTCACTATATAGTAGAAATTATCTGTTGTATACAAAAGGCAAATAAAAAATTACCTAGCCTTAATAATTATGAAGTATATTAACTTAATCATTTAACCTCAATTTAATAGGTTAAGTCCTGTTGCAAGTACAAAAATGTAACAATGTCTAGAGTAGCACTGTATTTCATGTATAAAATGAATTATTAATGAGACGGTTTTTTGTACTTAGTCTTTGAAATCAGATATGTAGTTTATGCTTGCAGTACATCTCATTTTGAACTAGGGAAGATCAAGAGGTTCATAATAAAAGACACATTGTACTTAAACACTAAATAGCTTAATGTTCTTGGTTTTTGGATTTAGGAGATAGGGAAAGAATGGGGGTTCAGATCAATCAGAATTAGTTTTCATTCCGAACCAAATACTCTATGGTGACTATTGTTATAAGGGAGTTCCAGTGTATGGAATAACCTAGAGTACTACTGCATGACTAATATCATTTCAGAGAAATTAGCTAAGTCACACTATTCTTTTTTTTAAATCGGGCCCAACAAAATTAAGTGAGTTTATTAAAAAATCAAGATTGAGTATTTGAACCTGGGAAGCAATCCAACAGATTTTACTCTGTGAGAACTGTTTTCCAACAAAAGCAAGTTTGAATTTAGTTTGTACAGGTAGGGATGATGAGTCATTAAAACTGTAAAAATATACTGATACTATCTATGGGCAGAGGAAGGTAAATGCTGGAGTTTAATGACTTATTTCTAAAGAATACCCTGAAGTTACACAATTCTTAAACAGTTAATACCCTGTTTCCTAGAGACCTAATCCTTAAAATTGAATACATGATTGAGTGGTAGCATGCAAATATAAGGGTGAATGCAAAGGCTCTGGCACCATAACCATGCTGATCGGGAAAAAAGAAAACAAACAAAAGATAAGCTATTATCCCTTTTCAAAAGTTTACTTTGAAATATTAGGTGTTTTAGAATTTTATTTTAAAACAGTATTATAAAATTTTTTTTAAGAACTGCAAAATAGTTGACTCATCTGAAAATTCAATAGAAAGCATTCTGACTTATACAGTCAGGTTTAATTTTAATCTCCTTTTGTTCAGATGTTTCTAATTTCTGTTTTGTGCTTAGTAACTCCATTTTACCCTTATTTGAAGACAAATCAGTATTGTTTTGAATTATCAAGAAGCACTTCATATTGATAGATACTGGCTTAATTTGGCTTAGAAACTTAACTTCATATTGTCCTTATCACCATATTTAAATTTGTGATGTTCTGTACATGTGTGTCTGTGTGTATCTTGGTCTGTTGGCAGAAGAACTAAAGAGTTATGGTATACAAGACATATTTGTTTTCTGCACCAGAGGGGAACTGTCAAAATATAGAGTTCCAAACCTTTTGGACCTCTACCAACAGTATGGAATTATCACTCATCATCATCCAATCCCAGATGGAGGGACTCCTGACATAGCCCGCTGCTGTGAAATAATGGAGGAGCTTGCAATCTGCCTTAAAAATAACCGAAAAACCCTAATACAGTATGTTCTCTTTTTTTACATGAAATGTCCCAGTCAAAATGATTTCTTGAATTATTGCATCCTTATTCATTTATTATGTACCTTGTAGTTTGTTGCAAGGATGGAAAGGAGATGATGCATGAAAGTTACTCACAATGCCTAATCCAGAGCAGGCACTCAGATTGGCACTGTTACTTTTAAAGAGCGAGGGCAATAAGTGAATAGATTTAGAAATGTTTAGAATATTTTTAACTGATTTTTTTCTTTCCTTTTGTCTTAGACCTTTAGTTATCATCTGGGGACCCTCTCCCTCCCCCAAAAGTGGGCATCATTCTTGTTTCATAATAACACCTATGGTTAATCTTTCAGTTGCTCACTTGCTTCCAACAGCAAGTCAATTTTTTTAAAAAATGGCAGTAATCATCCCTGAGCAATAAGCAATCTTAAAAATATGACTTGAAAAGTATATTTGATGATAGAAATTTACTATCAGAATGAAAGGGGGATTCTCACTGTTGATGGTTATACACAAACTGCTGGTGTAAAAGTCTAACACAAAACAAAATAGTTTGGGGAGTGGGAATGGGGAGAGAAGCTTGGAGAAAGGAAGAGAATATCAACCAGCGGTAGATAGTAGCAATGCAAAGATCAGAAGAGAGCTGAGGCCGATAGCAATATGTGCTGTGTCAGAAGTGAAACACCCAGAACCAGCATGAGCCAGCTTCAGGGAGAAAACTAGTCCCCCCCCTGTGCTGGTTGTACTTTTGTATCCTTGTAAGCAGCTTAATCCTTCCTGGAACTATTAGAGTATCACAAAGTTTGATACCTCAAAGCCCCTAAGGTCAGACCTTACCATGCATTAGACTACATGGTGAGCTTAATATAGCATGTGCACGTGCACATGAGCGCACGCACACACACACACACCCCAATTCTCGGTGATGCATGCCTGAAACTTACATAGTGTCATACCAGTGTTATAGTAAAATAAGGTCTACAGACCTCACCAAATAACACTGAGGGCACTTAGGGAAGGGCAAGCCCAATCAACTTCTCTCCTTAGATCTGTAGCTCAGGGGCCTCCTGCCAAGTTTCCATTCTGAAAGCAAACCTACTAGTACAAGGGTCTTTGGGGAAACACACTTGTTTGTGATCAAACAAAACTCTAATATACAGGGAACTATAACCTACAGAATAGAGACTAGAGGACTAGAAGCCCCCCTACACTGTGTAGTTGCTAAACTTTCTCTAGAGAAAAGCATCATCTCTCATCTAGTAGTAATTATAAAAGAAAATATTAGAATAGTTAGTATTAAATTTTGTGATAAGTAACAGTGTAAGATATTTCCCAATTTTTTAGTCCATTTTTCAAACCAATCCTGCTATTTTTCTAATGAATCTTTGAAAGCTGAAAAGTTTCCCAAGATCAAATTAGCTCAGATAAGTACTAATGTTTTTGGACAAAGACAGTTGCCTGCCGTCTTTGAGTGGCTTACCTTGCTAGACAGCTCTCGAGTTTATCCCTCAGAAACAGCATCTGGTAGTTTTCTCACTGTGGTGTCTAACAGTGTTTCACTGGGTCTCCCTGGATGTTTTCATTCTTTTATAAATCAGTGACACTGCTTGCCTGCTATGTCAATCATTCTGCTTCCTGGCGTTGTCATAATGAAGTACTACAAACTGATACCTTAAAACAACATTTATTCTCTCCCAGTTTTGGAAGCTGGAAGTCCAAAGTCAAGGTGTCAGCAGGGCCTCCCTCCCTGGGATGGACTCCTTCCTCGGCTCTTCCTAGCTATGATAGCCTTCAACCCTTGGCATTCCGTGTTCCAACTGCATTGCTCCAATCTCTGCCTCCACTGTCACATGCCCTTCTTCCATGTATGTCTCTTAATACAGTGTTTCCTCTTACAAGGAACCAGTCATATTGGATTAGGGCACCAATAACCTCCTCTTAAACTTGATTATATCAGGAAAGGTCCTATTTCCAAATAAGGTCACATTCACTCCTCCAAGAGTTAGGTCTTTTGGGAGATGGAGCTCAACTCAGCGAGCTACCATGTACCAAACACTGAATACAAAGCACATGTGGAAGCAGTTCCCAGATCTAGCGACACTACCAGAACTTCACGGCTGTGTGAGAGCATATGGGACTGCAGTGGTTTCTGCAGGGGTTCAAAGGCATTTCAGTGAAATCTGAGCAGGGTTTTGAAGAGTAAAAATCAAACAAGAGGAAGAAAGACAAGAATAGGGGAAGGTGTGAAGTAGTATTAATCTTGCAAGAAAGCCACTGAAGTGTTCTACCTCTCTTACCTTTACATGGTAGATCTTCATCCCTCTGCAGCAAGCCTACATCTGGGCCACTCTGTAGTAGGCAAGTTCTCAAATACTTTAAGGGTCACTATCTGTTTGATCCTCTGTCTCACACCCAGTCACAGATCTGTATCTGCGGTTTCATCTAATGTTCCTAAGTCATCAAGCATCAAATTAGGTTTAGTAGACCCTCTAAGAAACTGAGGTGTGCATAACGAATTTTTTGAGGATCTTTGGAAATTATAAAATGATTTTATTGCTTTGACCATTAGTCTTCATTTTTGTAGACAATCCAGGTACACAGAGCTCCTAATTTCTTCCCATGTTATATAATAACTTTTTAGTAGTTAACATTCATTTACTTCTTATTCTGTGAAAACTCTGTTATAACCCTTTCATTCAATGCTCGCTATGATGCAGGGACTGTTGCTGTGACCATCTTAAAAGTGGAAAGGCTGAGGTCCAGACAGGTGAAATAACTTGCATAGGTTCACACATCTGATAAGTGACAGCTAGATCCAGGATTCCACCCAGGCAGTGAGACTCTGGAGCCCACCCGCACACCTTTGATAATGCTTCTCCTGCATTCCTATTAGATAAAAGAGTTAAATACAAAGGTTTGTTTAGAGGAAAATAATTTAAGTGGCAGTTGGTAAAAAACCTATTGGTATCTATTTAGTAACATGTTCCACTTCTCAGGTGTGGATCCTGGATTTTAAAGAGGTCAGTAAAAAGGCCCAGCTTACCTTGACCCTCAGAGGTGTTCAGAATGCCTCCCAACAAATAGGCATACTTTGCTCTCCACTGATTCAAAAATATGTATTGACCTCTGCATGCAAGCCACGGTGCTAGGCACTAGAGTTAGAATAGAAGGCAAGAAGAGAAATTATTGGGATGGGATGAATGTGCAAATTTCAAAACTGTACTTTCCTTTCAGCTGTTATGGAGGACTTGGGAGATCTTGTCTTGGTAAGAAATATATTTTCATTATTCAATTTTTTTAATCTTCAAAGTAGACAAACTCCTATTTCTAGACCATCTGCTCACTTTATATTAAAATAAGACAAAACACACCCAAAGGATACTCCAAGGCCCTAAAGTTGGTGTTTCCTAGAAAATTTGGGTAGGAGTGGGAAGTATTTTTTATGTTTTGAAGGAGTCTGGAAAACATAATTTACGATAGTCTTAGCACCTGCATTCTTATTTTCTAATGCTCTCCTTATGCGGGTGTTACAAAACAAATAGCAACTTCTAAATAATATCCACAGTTACATAAGTGTAACAACCATAGTTCATTACTGTATGTTAACCTTGCAACCTTTTTAAATGTATTGAGGAGAAAAAAAGTTAATGAAATGTTACACTAGATTAAGTTACTCCTTTTAGTGCTAGACAGAATCAAAATTAAAAATTTGTTTCTCAAAGGATACTATCAAAATGGAGACAGCTCACAAAATGGAAAAAAAAATTGCAGAAGAAATCTAATAAGGGACCTATATCTAGTCTATATAAAGGACTCTTATAAATCAATAATAACAAGACAAACAATTTAAGAATAAACAAAGGATCTGAACAGGTATTTTGCCAAACAAAATATAGCAGGTCCTCAAGTGATGTCATTTTGTTGAAATCTTTTTTTTTTTTTTTTGTGGGACCCTCACAGGTGGCCTGGGAACGAACCAGCGCTGCAGAGGCTGCGGGCAGTCTCACAGCCCAGCGCTCAACCGCTGCGCCACCAGGGGAGGCCCTTTTGTTGAAATCTATTAGTTATAATGTTGATAAGATAAAAACAATACTGGCCATTGTTGAACAAATATTCAATGACCTGTTTTCATTATCCGTAGTTTCACTTAAAGTCAGTTTCCAAGAAACTATTATGTTAAATTAGGACTTACTTTACACATACAACCAAAACACATATGAAAAGAGCTTAACATTATTCATCACCAAGGAAATACTAATCAAAACCAAAATATCGGGCCTCCTTGGTGGCACAGGTGGTTGAGTGCTGCAGTATGAACCAACCTGTCCTCAGCCTCTGTGGCGAGGGTTTAACCCAGCCGACCAGGGAGATTCCCACATGGCACGGCAGACCTCTCCTGTCTCGCCCACTGCTCCCCTCATCAGTGTGTTTGGTCAGTCTGCCTGTTCTGTTCCCCGCTCTGTCTCTGGTGAGTGCTCTCACCCTCCTGCACATCTGGCCTATACCTCAGGTCTTGTATAAATAAATAAAAATCTTAAAAAAATAAATATCACTAACACCCATTAGAGTGTCTACTATCTAAAAATGGGAAAATAAGTGTTGGCATAGGGAAAAATTGGGAAGCTTAATATACTGCTGGTGGGAATGTAAAATGGTTCACCTGCTTTGGAAAATAGTCTGCCAGTTCCTCAAACAGTTAAATATAGAGTTGCTGTATGACCCAGCAATTTCAATCCAAGGCATATACCCAAAGGAAATGTAAACTTACACAAAAATTTGTTCATGAACATAATGGCCAAAGTCTGGAAACAATCTAAATGTCAATCAACTGACAAGTAGATAAATGAAATTTATATACAATGGAATATTACTCATCCATGAAAAGGAATGAAATACTAATACATGCTACAATGTATATAAATCTTAAACACACACTGAAATGTTAGTCACAAAGGACCACATTGAGTATGGTTCTATTTATATGAAATGTCTAGAATAGGCAGAGATAGATTAGTTGTTGCTTGGGACAGGGAGGATGGGGTGATAGGCAGATGATCATAAAAGGACTTTCTTTTTTGAGATGATAAAAATATTCTAAAGTTGACCTTGGTGATAGCTAAATATATCTGTGAATAAAGTAAAATGTACTAAATCCACTTTAAATAAATTGTGTTATAAGAGTTATAACTCAATAAAGCTGTTAGGGATGAAGCCAGTGCTAAACTTTAATTCAGTACGTCATTAGTCAGTTTCTCTCTCAAAAACTCTTATTAAAAAGCTTTAGTCTTTGAATTCATTTGGAACAACTGCACCAGGCTGGTCTAGTCTGATGAATGTGTAGTGCTCTACCCTCTGACTATTTAATAATACACTGTTTTTCTATCATGTTCTATTAGTAGCCGCTTGTCTCCTCCTATACCTCTCTGACACAGTATCACCACAGCAAGCCATAGACAGCCTGAGAGACCTAAGAGGATCTGGGGCAATACAGACCATAAAGGTAAGGAGGCAGGTGTTTTTTGTGTGGTTGTGGTTAGGAGAAGACAGTTACAAATACAGGGTAAATATGTCATCAAAATGGCAATGAAAATCCAAATCAAAAATGAAAATATGAAAGCATTCTATTATTCATGTCAGCTGCTTATATTTTTATTTTACATTTAACTATAACCTGAATATCTAGGGGGGAAAAAACTGTATTTCAAACAAATTATGGAAAATTCTGAACTTTTTCCATCTCACTCTTAAGAGTACTACTATTCAGTTTTTACCCACTTACTTCTGGGAATGGAAAAATGAGATGGTTATTGTAACCCTAATTATTTCTTGGGTAGATTTTATCAGAACTATTAATGAAGATTCTATTATATCACCAAAACATTTACTAAAGATAGATGACTATAATACAAAAAATGTAACGCCAACTGTCCTTTGCTATGGGTCACCAAAGTGATATCTTCCAATTTATTTTCCCCTTAATGCTTCAGAAACACTGTAGTGGCAGTGCCCCAGAGACATTATAGAGTAACCAAGCTACTGAAAATATTCTGCCATTTTCAGTTTGTTTATAATAAAGTGAAAGCTAATTTCACCAAAGCTAATTTGCTCACGTTTCCCAAGCACCCAGTCTCAGCTTTAGAACTAGTCAGAACAAGAAGCACTAAAGAATGTATCCTCACAGGGTAGGGGTCTAACCAACTGTCATATGTGTGAGTTACTGTAACTGATAAATTTCCCCAGTAGCCTGATTTTCAGGACTTAATAAAGACATTCATAAAACTAATCCACACAGGATCCACTTCAATATATGGGGCTGAAAACAGGCAACTCCCTGTATTATCAAATTGTGCTTCAAATTCAAGATAGTCTCTCTGAAACAAGATGGTATAATATGTGTGTCTGTAACTCGACACCTCTGCCTCCCGTGACAAACAAGTTTTTCTCTGTATTGTTCTCAATTTAAATTTCTCAATAGTTACATGAAATGAGATTATTGGCAAAGTTGGAATTCCCTCTGGGAATCCATTAAAACTCCAAATGAATTATTCAGTTTTTTGAAAAATCTTTGCTTATCTGTTCAGCTTAGTGCTATGTTTTAATAGTCTATGATGAAAAATGTTCCAAATGGATTGTCATTACAAATAGCACAAAACTAGGGCTTCAGTAAATTAAGAAATCGATTTTCTTGACTATACCACTGTTAATTGCTATAGAAAGTACCCTCTCTTCCCTACTTATTCCTCTACTTGGGGGGGGCGGGATACATTAGCAAAAGAATGCCTTCGAGTACTATTTTTAATCTTATTTGCTCCTGCCAGTAGGAGGAAAATTTTAGATTTATAAGATATTCACTTGTATTTCATGGTGCCTCCTGTTTTTGAGATTAAAAAGCAGTAATTTTGCACACTATATGCAATTCCTCCATGATACAAATGCTTCCTTACCCTAAACAATGTAAAAATGTTATTAGCAAATTTTTTTATTCCTACTAAGTATTGTGTCTACTGTGGTAACACGTTTTCTACAGTGTAGTTCAATATATCTTGACTTTCTTCAGCAATATAATTATCTTCATGAGTTCCGGGACAAACTATCTGCACATCTATCATCAAGAGATTCACTATCAAGATCTGTATCCAGATAAAAAGGAAAACTTCAAATAGCATATACAAGACCATGCCTGCAACCTAAGAGTTTGCTAACATAATGTGTACCAAAATGAAGTAATTTGTGATATCATCTTGATTGTAAATGTCTATGAGAAGATATTCTCTAAAGCTTTTATTGACCAATTTCATTGTGTCTCCTTCATCTGTTTATAGGCGATAGAAAAACTGCCATACAATTTTCCTTTTTAGAAGTATACTCACTGTTCTGGTATATTTTATGGAGGTAATGCTGAAAGAAGCATATGGAAAACTCTTTGATTGCACTATTATTGTCTACCACACTTTTACCTCATTTTACTAGCACCACTGGGTAGCATAAGACAGTAACAAGAATGAAAATTGGTGTGAGCTATCCAACGTAAAACTATTTAAATAACTTTGGCCCTCTGTTCCTCCCACGATTTCATCCATAGTGTTTTCTACTTAAAGATTCATAGACTCTTGTGAAGGATCCTATGGAATCTTTCTAATCGTCTCCCCCCAAATACTGTATCATTCCAAACAGGTGTTTTCTCAGCACTTGATGGAACATCTTCAGAGGTAAGGAATTCATTGGCTCAGACAACTGCTTTTAAAGTGTTCATTTTTTTTCACCCTAGGAACAAGGAATGAATTCCATCCCTTTTATATTTATTTTAGAAAGCACTTACTTACCAATTAGCAACCTCCAGTTCTCTCTTTCACCTTACCCTGTGCTATTGAACATGGCCTTTTGTCTTTGAGTTCATTGTTGAGCTACTGAAAGCAATCATCTGGATAAGGATCATGCAATGAGTCAAAGCCACCTGTTTTAACAGACACCAGTGGTTTCAAGGGCACATGCAATAGTCCTCTGCTTTCTTGGCTAGTGGCAATCACAAATGGGAACCCATGGCGTTTTGACATCCAATTTATAGACACAGTAAACTTCACCACATCAAAGCTTAGTTTTTAAATAATTTCATTACAAAGCTCTTTTTTATTTCACATTCTTCTTGCTACTGATGAATTACTTTAACTTCATTTGGGACTACTGTAAAACAATCACAAGTATTGTTTGGGAACTTCAGAAAGCCTGTAGGTACTCTAATATACAATCAGTATTTTAATATCTTCATATATACATTGCTTCTTGAACTTAACGATTTCAGAAAAAAATAGGAAAGATGGGAGAACATCTCACACCAGTATCTGAATCCCTTAAACTAAGACAATACCAAAAGTTATAGCAAAAAAAAGTGGTTTTTTAAAGTATTAGTTGCAGAAAGTCAACTTCCTCATGTTGGTATTACAACCAGATAAAATTTTAAATCACAATATACTATCAAACTTTAGGAGGCACTGCAATTAACATTACCAAATCTTTAACATTCTCCCAATATAAATATATAGCTTATTCATGAATACTAGAGAAAATGGAGGGAAAATATTGCTATGGATTAATAAAATCCTTTAAAAAGTGTGTGCATCTCAGTTTCCACTGCAAATGTTAGTTAACTCTTCCACATTTAAAATTGCTTGTCTAAACTACTTCCATACCAAGCATAAGGAAAGACATCGATTACTCCGTAACAGAGAAACATGGGATGTCACTGCTGAAATTGTCCAGTTAAGTTAAATAACACTTAATTGCATCATTCTTGAGCAAGTATTTTCTCTGCCTGACTTGTGGGAAAGCCCTCGTAACAATGGGGTTAGGGAAGAAGAGACACAATCTAGGGTTCTAGTGATAGGACCTGAACTAAGCCAGTTAGTTGCTGAAATTCAATCAACACACTTTGTTATCCATAAACTACACAAGGACACATCAGATGGTTTTTATTAAATAAACAAAAGCAAAATAAATCAAGCAAGCTCAAAAAAGTTAGGACTACTGAAGGACATTTCCTTTGGACAGTATGTTACAGCACCATTAAAGTAAACTCAATTTCAGCAAACCATAAGCACAGCAACTACATTTTTTTTTCTCTTAGTTTTAGTGCCCACCTTAGTCATCAACCTAGTATTTTAGATATTTTTCTTCTCCAGAATACATGAACATGGTGACGAAAGAAATTTAAATGTTTAGAGAAAGCACTGTACAATAAAATTAACTTTTGTATGTTAAGATATTCTCTTTCACAATTTGTATGAATAAAATGTAAGACAAAACTTTCACTCCAATAACACTGATCAATTACCTTATATGGTCAATAGTATTGTCCCAAACTAAGCAAAACAAGCAGCAAGATTTACTTTGACATTTTTGCATGAAAGCTCCTAATTGTAATCCAATTAAAATTGTTCTAAGAAAACTGTTCAACAGATCCAGAAACACATATTTTCTCTTGGCATCACCCTGGAGTATTAGTTCAGCACCACATTCTGAGCCATACTACTAGTACCAGAGACTCCAGCTGCTGACCTGACCACACGTCAATGATTGGATGGAGCAAAGAGCATGTTTGAGACTAATGATAGTTTTCCAAAAGTGTGACTATGAGTAATTTTACGAACAATACTAGACATGGTATCAGTATTTTTATTTTCCCTTTGAAATGAGCTGTCAAAATTTCTGTACAACTGATTATTGAGAAATGCACATTTCTGGGTGTTAAATGGTCTAAGCTGGATGCATACTTTTAGGTACAGATTTGAATGGGCTCAGTGTATCAAACTACTAGTATAGTAGCCATGCCTAAAAATTCCAGTCTACCCCCTGCTGGGTGTAAGCGATACACAGAGGTCATTATTTGTATAATGTCAGTATATTCCATGAATGCTATTAATAAACAAATAATGGAGAAAAAAGGGTTGTCCTAAGGAGAATAGTTTCAAAGTATATCTACATATCTATTTCCCTTCTATGTAATTAACTGACATTTTCAAAATATTGATTGGGAGAGCAGGGTAGAGCACTGAGAGCTATGAGTGTGACTGGTTCTCAAGCTGAAATATACTGAACAGAATTTGAAAGAGACTCCTACTACAAACTGCCATATACTCTGATGCTTCGTGAAAGACCACTTTCTGGGTATCAGAACCTGACTGGTACGTCTGGTGGCAAACTGTAATGTGGCTTCTCAAGTATACCAATTCGTATCAAAATGGATTGTCTGCTATTTCCTGTCACTTTTCCTTTCCATGAAAAACAATTCAAATTTCAAGCAAATTAGCAGTTTGTCTGGGACCAAACTCAGCAGTAGCCTGGGACCAAACTCTCCTCTACTCATGGATAGAGTGGGGAATGTCAAACACTGAACATCACCAAACATCATTAATAAAATTCAAATGCAGGCATTCAATCAAATTTCTATAGCTCCTTATTACTAAAGAAACATATTAGCATATGTAGTATAATTATTTAATAGAAAAACTATTAAATAGACTCCATTTGTTATATAAAATTTGGGATTTGGGAGAATCTGTAGTAACCATAGCAACAAAGACTTGTTGGTATAGCTATAAACCAATGCATTACACTAACATTTTCTGAGAGTTCTTAAAGATAAAGCAAAGCACATGATATCAAAAATAATTATAACAAGGGGGAAGAGTAGCTAAGTACACTGTTGTTGCTGCACAGGGAACAGTCTGATATAAACTGGAAAGGATCACAGGCCCAGGCTAATTGTGCCTCAGCTGGATCTGCAGGAATAACAAGGTTGGGCCTTAAAACAGATTGTGGGAACAAATTAAATTCGGAGCAAGGAAAAGGGTAAGATAGTATGAAATCAATATGTTTTGTTTTTGCTTTCTCTACATAAGTAATTTAATTTCATGAAACACTGGAAAAGGGAAAGGCATGTAGATATTATGAGGCCAAGTATTCATTCTTCTAATTACATGCCTAGAAACTAATAACCTACCACTGAAAAGGATGAACCTCACTGCCAATCATCTCTGAGGAATCAGCTAAGGACTACGTATCTAATTTTCAAAGCCCAAGATGGTAGCTTCCACACACAAACTGCAACGAGTAAACCTTGCACTAATCCTGGGAAATATTCTGGAATACATTATCAAAGGGATGTTTGTTTAAACTTTCAAAGAAAAGTGGCATTTGCCTAGAGACAGTAAGTGTTCAGGAAAACTTTGACAATTCGAATACTAAAGTTATGGTCCCAAGAAGCCTATAAGGAATAAGCAAGACTTCGCCAGGCCTCTCATGATCAAAAATACTTGTGAACCAAAAAGAACAAGAGGACTGACTAAGTTAGTTAGAAACCAAGTAATTGCTTCCATTTAGAGCATGACTTTTTGGTGCCTAGCGAGTGTTTGATAAATAATTTACTGCATAAACTGATGGACAGACAGACCATTGGAGGTGTTCACCAAGCTATACAAGATCTTCAAAGTTTCTCTCACTAAATGATTTGACTCTCCTCACTCTTCTCGTTCTCATCCTCTTCTACAATACTCAGCCCCTTTACCCAATAAAGAACAGCAACGCTACTCTCCCAAAGGTAGGGAAGCATTTTGTTTGCAGTAGAGAATAAAACAGCATGGCATTTAAGTTCTTAAGAGTAAAACTTCCACAAATACATCCATAAACTCCCTTGATCATTATGTAGTATTCTATATACTGGTTTTCTTTGATCCTTTGTTCAAAGGACTTAACTGCCTCATCCCAAATACAGCACAAGAATGCTTATGAAAACATTCAAGCCATAATTTACCTGCCTTATAAGCAGCAGCAAAACGCAAACAAATATACAAGCTATTTGACTTTAAAATCTGCTTTACCTTAAATCTTGCTATTTCAAAAATGAAAAAAAAAATAAACATTTTAAGTGCTCTAATAATTTTTTTAACTGGTAAGAAAAACGATACTATGCCATCAATATTTATGATTCATGAATCTTGTGAAATAACAGAGGGTGAAGGGCTTACCCATTTAAAATCTTCCTTAATAGGTCCAAGGATGGTATAAAAAAATAACACAATATGATTCTCTGCTATCTTTTTAAAAAATTGACAGTAATATGTCTTTATTATGGATTAAGCAACTTTAAGAAATAGCTATTTGTAATCTTTAAAACAATGCACTGAAAATAAGTCTTAATTTCAGAGTTTTATTATATTGCACTAAAGGAACAGCAGGATGGTTATACAATGTTCTCTCTCACTCAGTTTTGAAAATCTAAAGTACTTGCAAATTC